TGGGTAACGAGCGAAACTCCGTCTCAGAAAAAAAAAGAAAGAAAGAAAAAATTCTAGGGTTATGCTGTTCTCCAGGTGTAGAATCTGAGTATCTGAGCCTCAGTTACTGAAGACATGTTCATAACGAGGACACCATATCATAGCCTCCCCTCGCCTCCCCCTCCCACAGAACCAGGGGGTTTAAACCATTCTCAGAAAGAATGGAAGCCAAGTTCCTGAAGAGAATAAGAGGGTGCTAAGCAAGGGGAACCCCAGGGCTGAAGGCTCTGGGTCAGAGAGAAGGCTGGAATGTAGGAGCCTCAGTGAAGGGCATGCCAGGCCTTGAGGCTGGAGGTAGGCAGGGGCCAGATCCGCAGGGCTGATGGGGCAAGCTATGGAGTTTTTTCCCTCAAGGCCACAGGAAGCCATTGAGGGGTGTTGAACTCATCTGATATCCATTGTAAAACACATCTTGGGTTATAGGTAGAGAAAGCATTAAGGCAAACCCAGAAAGGAAGAAGTTTTGAGAAACCTGTACATACAGTTCTGTCTTTGTCTGGAGGAGAACACGTGACAGATCTGACATCCTTTCCTCCCTTGCATTTGGGACCCCTTGCTCTCCTGATGTCCCTCAGACCTCACTGCCTGCTCCCTCTCAGTCCCCTTTGCCCTCTTTGTCTTTTCCTTTATGTCCAGGCGCTGAACCACCCCAGGGCTCAATACTAGCACCTCTTTTGGGCGATTTTATCCAGGCTGATGGCTCAACATGCCATCCGTATTTGGAAAGCTCCTAAATGTCCGTAATTCTTATTGGGAACTCTCCCTTCCCAACACATTTTCAACAGCAGGGTCCATGTTCACTGGCAAGGCACCTGCCATTGGTACCCTGGTGTAGGCTTTTATTAGCGATAAAGATAAATGGACAAAATTGAGACATATGAGGGTTTGCTGACGGATTCAAGGTCTGTGTAGGGTGGGGCAGACGGAGATGAAATATCCTGATTTGATTGTAAGATTTTGGCTGGAGATAATAATTGGATTTCAATTAATGTTAGTTAACCAGCTTCTTTCCCCTCCGTCCCTCATTCCAAAGCTTCCCATTTGGAATATCTGATGAAGGCAGAAAACGTTAAAGAGGTGTTCCCAGTGTTGCGTTTTGTGTGCAGTTTTTAAGGCAGTTTACATTAACATTTTGAGTGAAGGTAATTTCAGAAAACTATCCAGAATATTAGTGGAGTCATGAGTTGTGCTTGCAGTGGGGGAGGGCACTCATTGAATGCACCAGTGGGATAAATCCAGTTAAAAAATGTTGTTAACCTTATCAAGATTGACTAATGCAATCAAGTTGGGAGGGTTCTGAAACCTTTATTTAAATTGAGTCTTATTCTTGACCCCTCCCTTTTTGGTTTGCTTATAAAAACCAGCAATCACATCTCTTCCAGTGTTCTTCGGAGCCACGTAGAGTGAAGGCCTAGAGAGTTTTCAGGTTCCAGACCCTGCCTTCTCTTCTGAAAGGTAATTTCTGACATATATATATATATATATATATCAAAATAGATATATATATATTGATTGTATATTATTGTGATACTTTACAGAGCGGTGACTTGCATGGGCTAAAGAAACTTAATAGAAAAGAGTTGTTTGTTATTCCTACTGTAGTGCATTCAGACTTGTTCAGAGGGCTGTCCCTGTTTCCTTCTCAAATGTCCTTTGTAGTTTGCAGATGCTGGCAGGTTTGCCTAACTTTTTCATGTTCTTTTCCTGCTAACTCCTCACTGCAGTTTTTCAGGTTTTCCTGCTCTGAACACTGAATTCTTTTACGTCCCGTATCTATGTTGGCTCTGTTTCAGCTCCAGGGATTTACATACAGTTTCCAAATAGTTTTTCTATCATAGTTCCACAGTAAAATAAATGCTTGTGAAATAAGAAGATCATACTGCATTCTGTTCTTCTAATTAAGGCTAAGTCTCAAAAGATGATTCCAATAAGTGTTAAACACAGCGAATCTGAAGTTTATTTTTCTTCTTCTTTTTTTTTTTTTTGTTTTTTTTTTGTTCCTAGATCTGAGCATGCTGTGACTGGCAGGATCTCGATAGAAAATCAGATGTTAGCTAAACGGAGAGGCCTGATATCACTAGGATTAAATCAGAGATAATGGTGTGATTTTATAAGCGCATACTAGGAAGTATGTCTTAAGGAGGAGGGCCTGTTTGGATAATTGTGAAAAATGAGGTGTAGCTGATGTCTGCTGCATGAAAACGAGGTGAAGTGGGGCTTTTCCGCCCTTTCTCTAAGTAACATGTGCAGAGCTTTTCTTTTGGTTCCATTCTTTGTTTTTGTTGCTGGCGTCTAGTAGCACCTGACTCCTTTAGAGATGGTCTAGCCAGGGAGTGATGGCGAAGCTGGATTTCTTGTGGGTGGAGCTAAGCGTAGGAAGACCAACGTTCGATTTTCAGTTTTCACTTTGTGCAATATGAGTTCTTAGCTTTTATTACAAAACCAAATGTTTCCAGCGTTTTCCTGTTACTTTTGGAGTTTTCATATTTTAATTGTTTGAACTCTACATGCTTTCCAAATAAACGTTAAGTATGAGCCTCACATTCTCAGGGAAGAGTGTGTCTCAGGGAAGCCCTCCCGGGCGAATTCAGATCCTTCTCTGTCCTTCTGAAAACACAGTATGTATTTGCAACCCAGCAGTCAGTCACTGGCAGAATTTTGCAACGATTTCCCAGTTTTGTTGGCACATCTCCAGGACGAGGTTCTTTGTAATTCTTTGCTCAAACATAAGGAGGATCACATATAAATAAAACTCTTAGCAGCTAGATCAGTGAATACAATCATCTTTCAATTTTTAAAAGCTACGACATAATAAGGTGCTTTTTTTTTTTTAAGGGAGGCGGCGTTGAAACAGTAACAAATCATGATGCTATAATGTGAACAAAGTGGTAGCTTTGGAGGGCACAGGGGAAAAAAAAAGCACAACCTTTTATGCTCAGAAAATAATTCAGTAGCAACAAGGTCTGAGAGCAAGGAATCTCCTTGTTCTTACTGAAACGATTATTTGTCAAAATATTTGATTGTTTCCTTATTCCTCCTGAAAAGTTTGGACTTTTCTTTTTCTTCGATTTTGACACTAGAATTTTTAACTATCAGCGCTATTGTGTTTACAGCATTCAAGGTCTCAGAGTTCAAAGGTTATCCATTAACATGTAGAATAAGGCTACATTTAAGGCTCAACCTGGTTCTGCTTGTTCATAGTTTCTTTGTTGTGTAGCAAGGCGCATAGTCATTTGTTTTCATAAAGTTAAATGAAGTTTCTTGTTTATGAAGAGTGTTTTTGGCTGTGTTTTAAAATGTGACAATAAGATTAAAAAATACATTTTAAAGAAAGGTGTTCATCTTTTGTGAGAAAAGGAATTCTACTACTTAAGTGATCAGTATCAGTGGATTTGAGTGAAAAAAAAATTCACCCAATGTAGTTTTTTAGTGCTGGCCTAAGAATCTACTTCTGGCACTGCTAATTAATTAAGTGTGAGTAAGTAATTGATTCACTTCCTTTTTAAAAAAGACTAACCAGACCATATGTGAGGTTAGTAGTTATATATAAAATGACAGCAAAACATGACACTTGGCAAATTTTTCCCCTTTGCTGAGCTGTGTTCTCAAATTCCTTTTCCTATTTATTAAGGACTGCATTGCTCACCAGCTCCGGATCGTTTCTGTAGTGCGTTCTTTCTTTTGATTTAGGAAATAATATATTTTAAATGCTTTTCTTGATGTGTTTTAAAGTTTTTTCACTTTGGATGTGCCGAAGGCCAATACAAAAATAAATACTTGGCTATTTTGTTGGTAGCGACTTGCATAGATCCATTTCACGTTGGCATTTTGGGGCAGAAAAATTGGGGATGTGCTTGTTTTATGTATGGTTCCTCCTTGAGGCTTCCTTAAAATGGGGGAATATCACACGCCTTAGGAATCAGAACCTTTTTTTGTCCTTTTTTTCAGCAAGGAAAAAAAAAAAAAACCAGTTGGGAAACGCTTTAAATGAGTTGGGCGTGGGGGGAAGGGGGAAAGGGTAGCAGTTCTTTTTTTTTTTTGTCCTCGGTTTCCTCCAAATGGATTTCTATCAAAACCAAGTAGATTCTTGGAACCTGGGCTAAGTTTAGAAATCTCAAGTTAGAATAGCGCAAGCCCAGCCCTTTCAGGGAAAAAAAAACCCAAAAAACAAAAAACAGAACAATTAAATAGCTTTCTGAAGATACTCATTTAAAAACTGTTTATCTTCTCGACCTTCCTTACACTTGAAGAAAATCTGAGGTGTTTTTGGCTCACAGCTGTCTTCTAACCCGCGCGCCATAGCGTAAGGATTTTGTTTGTAATTCGGGGTGACCCAGGGGTTCGGGCCGCGGGCCCCTCCCCTCGCCGGGGCACACCTTGAAGAGGGGGCGGCGGGGACGGGGGCCTGGGTCTGCGCCTGCGCATGCCCTCGCGGCCCCCCTCCCCCCCCCCGGAGTACCTGTCACTGTTACGGCTGCGGCGCGCGCCCGCCACGTTAAGCCGGATGGCGGGAGGAGGGGTGCGGGTTGGGGCGGGGGGCGCACGGCGCGCGCGTGCGCGGGAGTCGCGGGGCGAGAACTGGGAGTGCGCGCGCTCGCCCCTCGCTCGCGTCCCGGAGGCGGAGTCTGCAGCGGTGGGCGGAGCGGAGGCGCGCCTGCGCTGGTCACGTGGGCGCCGGGGCGGGGCCGGGGCGGGGCCGGGAGGCCGGTGAAGGCAGGGGGCGGGGCGTCTCCGAGCGGCGGGGCCGAGGGAGGGCGCAACAGCTGCTCCCTGAACACTTTCTGACCCAACAGTCCCCCAGCGCCGGACGCGCCGCGCCCCGGCGGCTCTAGGGACCCCCCGCGCCTGCACTGTTCCCGCGCGGACGAGTAGGGGGCGCCCGCGCCTTTGCCCCCCGTGCGCACCCCCGCCCCGCTCACCTTAGCCCCGCGCCCGAGGTGAGCCCGGCCCCCAAATCCTCCAGGCGGGGGCGGGGGTGGGGGTGGGGAACGCTCCTTTTTTGGGGGGTCTTGGAGGCGCGAAGCCCCGAGGCGCTCTGGGGGTTGGCTGCGCCCCTCGCTCGGAGCTCCCCGTGTCTTTTGGGGGGCCGGGTGCGGGCGCGGAATCCGGGAGGTGTCCGCACAAAAGGCCGATAGAAACTCCGCGACGCCTCCCTCCCTCCCTCCCTCCGCCCTCCCCGCCCCCTCCCCTCGCGCCCGCTCCTCCTCATTCAAACCCGGCCGGCCCCAGTGGTGTCAGCTCAGTCCCGGCCGCCGCCGCGCGAGGAAATGGCCGAGGAGCCGGAGCCGCAGGTAAAGGGGGCGCGCCTCCCGCCCGCGCCAGCCAGGGCGCTCGCCTGGCCCTGCGGAGGCTCCCGCGCCGCCCCCGAGGCGCCCGGCTCCCGTTGTCTTGTCCCCCTCAGGATGACCCCAGTCCCCCGTCTGCGCTTTCTCTCCGCTCCTCTAGGGCGCCCCCTCCCCAGCCGGCTCCAGCGCTTCCGCCCGCGGGAAGGTGCGGGCGACCCGGGCTGTATCCGCGCTTGGCAGTCACACTCACGCCGCACGATTCAGAAGGGCTCGGGGTGCGGGGTCCCCTGAATCTCCGCCCCGAGCCGGGGTCCGGGAACCCGGTGATTGCGGGGGCGGGCGGTGGGGGGCTGTTCCGAAAAGTTGGATCGCCTCGCGGGGCAGGTCTCCCAGTTTGCCCACTCGGCCTCGGGGCGCGAGTGGAAGGTGGACGCCCGCGCGGGGTCCCCCGCGATGGCCTGGGAGGGGCCGGGGCAATTTGGAAACGGCCAAAACAATGCGTCCGGACGGGCATCCCCCGCAAACAATGGCAGGGACGGTCCACAAGGGCCGGGCGGAGGGCGCGTCTAAAGGGCCGCGGGAGGGGCTGGGCCTGGCCTCGGACCCCCGACGCGCGCCCGGGTGATCCCCTTGGGTGCCCGAAAATCCGTCCCTAAGAGTTCCGGGGTTCTTGCTCATGCCTGAGCACAGGGCTGCGTTTCCTGGATGTGTGCGATAAGGTGGTGTGTTTTTTTTCTCCTTTAATTTTGAAGATTTTTATTTTAAAGTCTTAATGTCCTCTAAACTCTTAAAGAATGTCTTTACAACTCAATTCTAGTGGAACACCCAGAGCCAGCTAGAAGCCGAACTGGGATCTCTAAAGGGCAGGAAGGATTGAAATGCTAGCCCAAAAGTGCTGCTTGCTTTTTTTTTTTTTTTTTTTTTTTAAAGGGAAGTTTCTGCCAGGAGGTGCCGAGTGGTGAAACCGCTCAGTTTCAGATGCACAGCTCTCTTCTCTCTTGATTTGGCCCCGATTGCGAGCGGGACGGGATGGTGGAGGGGAGGAGGGCTCTGCTGGGGGCCCGGGAGGCTGGATTTGGGGCTGCCTGGGCGGTCCCGACCGAGGGGCAAGACCCGGCACGCGGGGCGCGCAGCTGGAACCTGGGTCCCGGGGTTTTGGGAAGACGTTCTGGGCTCGAGTTGAAACCCACATTTTAGGATTCTGGGTAGGGCCACCGACGACGGGAAGGCACATTTTTGGGCGGGTAGGGTGGGGGTGGGGTGAGCAGGCGGGGAGTTTTCCGTCAGGTTTAGTTACAGGAGCAAGAAAAGAACACTTCTGGGACCCTGGCATCCTGGCCACACTGGGAGCCCCAGAAACTTTTTTCTCTTTTTCTTTTTTTCCTCCCAAGAAAAGGATAATCATTTCAGGGTTTAAGGCTTTGGGATATTGTTCCACTTCGAAATTCCTTGAGCCTCAGTTTATCTTCCTGAATTAGCCTAGGGGCTTGAAGCGTTGAACATTCCTAAACACGGAGGAAGTAAATGGCGGTTGCAGTGGTCCATTGGCCAGTTTGGGGGTCCTGTATTACTGGCCACTGTGTGTCCCACAGCGTAGCTAGGTTTCCTAGTTTTCTAGATCGTTTGGAAGCATTAAGCTGTATGTTTTAAAAAGCCTAGGTCTGATTTAGTTCAGGTTGATTCAATTACGTCTTCATTGCTTTTTAGTTGGTTGAATGACTTGACATGAGATTAAGCTCAACAAAAGAAAAAGCGAGGTAGCAACAGCTGCCGTCCAGGCCTGGCCACTAGGTAGGGGTCTTAGGAGGCCTTTTACCTTCTCTTTTGTATATGTCAAAAAGGACGTTTACAATGTCCTTATTTTACTGTACTGCTTTCCTCTGAAGTGGATGTTCTTTCTTGCTTGATATCAGGCGAGACTTAAAATGCTAAGTTTTATGATACTTAGTGAGTAATAGATGTAGTTTTTAAAAGCCTTTACGTGTCTGCAGTGACAAGTGCAGAGGAATAACCTCATTGCTTTTTGTCTGAGAGTATAACAGGCAAGCCACTAGTTTGTGCTTGCTTAGTTAATGAGTGCTAAGAACTTTTAAGGTGTGTCTTTAATGGTAGATAACTTTTTTCCTTCTGAGAAGTCATATTTATTTTAGATATTGTTTTGTTCAGTGTTCTAGAGACTAATAGTGTTTTGTTTTGTTTTTCTTAATCCTGATGTTGCTGCCATTTTTAATCAGTTATATAAGGATTACATTCAGGAGGCAATGACTTACTTAAAATTCAGTTGTCAGTTACAACTCAGATTTATAATTTAATTGTTAGAATGGGATTAATAATCTGGGATTTTTAATTATTTGGTGTGATGAGGAAAGCTAGTCTTTCAGAATTGTGTTAGAATTGTGTCTTTATTTGCCTATAGGACAAGATTATGACTTTCTTGGTGAAGGACACACTTTGCTTTAGTGTCCCACTTCTTTCACCCCTTTTGTCTTCACAACACCTTCCTAACGTTTTGCAGTTTGACCTTTGCTGTTTTTTAATAACTTGTGAGATCGAAGTTTAGCAATTGTGTGTTGGGTTCATGTTCCCTTTCACTTCTTACCCAAAAAAAGGAACTAATACACCACTTAGAAAAATTTTGTAGAAAACTTTTCTCCCCTTTACCCTGAGGAATCTATTTTGGTAACAGCTCAACATTTTTTTCCAGGTAGTAGGGGAGGAAGGAGGAGCAGTGAAGGTTTTGACTTTGACTGCCTTTACTTTTAAAAAAGGTGGGGGTAGATTTGCATTTTCTTTGTAAGCCTCCATTTTTGGCAGGAAAACTTCAGGGAGGAATAGGAGCCCCTAATCCCCTTCCAGTGGACTTGTTTTGGAGGAAATCTGAAAATAAGACTTAATCATCAAGTCACTTATAAACTGATGAAATAATTAAGGAATATAATGGCCTGGCAATGACCAAGTCCTTCTGTCTCCTCATTGCAGATAAATGCTAATCACTTTTTTCTCTCTTAACAACATTTATTATGAAATGGCATGTTTTCGCCACAGCAGGGTAGCCATTTCCCAACCCTGGAGCACTCTTAATTCTGAGATGCCTGATTAGAGCCTCAGGGGTCCCAAAAGATGTGCTGTTTTCCCACTTTATAAAATGACATTCTTTTCTCACAGTTGTCACGAACATGATATTGGTGGATAAGAACTTTGGAGTAGTTTTAATGACTCTTGACTGCCTAAAAGATGCCACTTTAAGAAAGGAGCTACTTTTATCTGACTCTTATTTAAAAGTAAATGACTGGACCCTTTTTGTCTTTTATATGAAGCTTAGTTTCCATTTGCTTAAAAAAATTCAAATGGTTCCATCTCCTGTATGCTCCTATGGCCTGTATGTTATAGATTTTGAGGTTGCTGGGTGTGATTTGTTTTAAATGGTTCATTCCTAATTTCCCATTTCGGTTTAATCGATGAGCAGAATGTTTAATGAATAAATTGGGAAAGTGAAGCCGAAGTACTGAGCACTGGCTATTTTCAAGCTTCAGAATTAGAAAGTAGGAATGAAAAAGGTGAGACAGTTACATAAACTGAGCATTCCACTAGTAAAATAAATGTAATAAGATTTTAAATCCAGTTACTACAGTTGAAATATAGAGAATAGTTTTCAGATTACTGGGATATTAAAAAGTAAAAACCTGAAAGGTATTTACAGAACAGCTACCAAAATGGAATTAAAGGAATCCCAATCTTGTTAAATATTCTAAAGAGTGAAGGATTTGGTTACAGCATGTAAATTACACTTGAGACAATGGAGGGTGTCTTGATCCGCACACCTCATCTCCAGATTTTGGGGGGGGAGGGGTGTTAGCTAGTTTAAATGCACGTGGAAGAAAGAATGTTTTCCACACAGACAGCAGGAAATTTTCTTGAATTCGGGTGAAGGAAGCCTGATTATTGAATACCTCTTAATGGCCTCATTTTAGGGGCAGTATAAAAACTTTTCTGAAATGTTCATGTTTTTAGAGTAAGGTGAAGTGAATTATTTTTCTCCAGCCAGTAATACAGTTAGACAAATTTGCAGTGGTATCTGGGGCAAAGGTTTTTGAATTTAGACCACGAGGGCAGATAGAAATCTGACTTTAAGGAAGTGGAAGAACAGGGACCATTCTTTCCTAAAATCTGCAGCTCACGATGACATGGTCAATTCTTGTACACATCTATCTTCCAGATAAATAGGGGGAAGCCCCCACTAGCCAGCTGCCGCCACATATTACCCTTTTATATTTAACGTTGGAATGCTTTCCATTTGAACATTTGTTGACTGACTGTTCTGAACATCTCCATTACTTCCTGCCCAGGGTATCAGCATAACTGAGTTACTGGAAATTTGGGGACAGTTTGGTAATTTTAAGATAAGTTGAGAAATAAAATTACTAAACCTGAAAAGACAGCTGAATAAGTTTTATGAGAGTTAGTTTGTTCTTTGTTCTTATTAAGCTTCACAAAAGCTGTCTCTGACCTCCACAAGCCTGTACTTCCTATAGAAAAGCTGCCCTAGACTCAGAAGCTAGGTTTTTAACGGGTTCGTGTAGTGTTTTTATATTGGTATTCCATTATTTTCTGGTGCGTCTGGAAACCTTTGGAATTTAAAATGTAGCTAAATGGACTGGAAATGTAGACTCTAGACATTTCTTGAATCATCATTAGGAATGATACTTTTACTTTTCCGACCCATATCAAATAAGGATAACTTAAAGCAACTCAGTTAAACCAGAAGTGTTTTTCTTTCTTTTGTAATCAATATAGGGTTTTTTTTTTTTTTTTTCAGTTTATAAATACTGAACAGTGATTGTATTACTAGTTAAAAGGAGACTTTTCCCCTTGATTTTGAAAGCAAACAGGTGATGCGAAGAGTCAGATATACAACTTTAGTATGTAGTCAACAAAAGAAACGAAGGGGAATATTTAAATCTTACAGAAGAAAGACCTTATGCCTTAAAAGGATTGCCTAAGTTTGT